CAAGTCTAAAAATATCATACGAACTCGCTCGCCATCTCAAAACACTAAAATAATATCTGAAACCACGAATCGAACACCAAAATATATAGAAATCACAATGAAACTAAAAAAACTCCTAATGTCACAAACAAGCGTTTGATTTATATCAAACCAACTCATAATGACACCAAACTTTGCACACAAGTTTCAAATGGCAAAACAAACCTAATTCATATTTTGAAATCTAAATTCAAACCCGATAGCCACAAAGTCAACTCATGATCAAATTTAAAAAATTTCTAAACCTTCAAATTGCCAACTTTCGGCAAAAAGAGCCAGTTCATCCTAAGAATCTCTGTAATCAATTACGGCATACTCCTAAGTCAAAAACCACCATGAGAACCTAGTGGAACCATCAAAATACCGTTCCGGGGTCGTTTTTATAAAAGTTAAACCTCGATTAGCATTTCCAACCTAAGTTTCCAAAGTAGGAACCAAGTGTTCCAAATCAATCCCAAACCTCCTCTAAACCAAATCAACCATCCATGCAAGTCACATAACCACAAATACACATACGGAAAGCTTCTAAAGGGGAAACATGGTTCAAATACACAAAACAACTGGGCGGGTCGTTACATTCTCCCCTTCTTAAATAAACATTCATCCTCGAACGAGTATAAAAACATACATGAAGTGCCAAAAGATAAGGATATCGGCTCCACATATCATGCTCGGTCTCCCAAGTCGCCTAATCGACCGGTTGACCTCTCCATTGGACCTTCACCAATGAAATATGGAGAACTTAGAGAGAGTTCAGTCACTTTCTCTTTTTCTTTCAAGACATCAGAAAAATGAACTCTTTTTCAAATCATCCGGGTCAAATACATTTATGGGATAAGTTAGATGTAGGATGAGTCAATCGGCTAGAGTGGGTCAAGTTTACGGAGATGGGTCATTTTAAGCTAGTTGGACATGCTGACTTCACTGTTGATATGGACAAATTATTAGAAGGGACGTTAGGGCTAGGGGTAATTCCGAATAGTTTGTTAGTATTAGGGATAAATTTGGGCGAAAAAGTATAACGGGGATAAATGTAAACTATATACCATAGTAGAGGTGCAAAGTCAGACATTTTCCCTTTTTGAAAAGTACTTTTAAGAAAATACACTTAAAGGTAGTTTTTAAAAACTTGGCCAAATAATAATTATTGCTTAAAAATATTTTTTAAATTAATTAATAAAACATAAAATATTTTTTATAAAAGAAAAATACTTTTTCAAACACATCGATTTTAAAAACTTGGCGGAACATGCTATTATATTAATTGTACGAGGCATATCAGATTTTAGGGCTTATGGGTCGGTTCTATTGGGGCATTCTGGTAATTGGTAGATTAGGGTTTTGCAAAGGTTTGCTCTATATAAGCCCATTAGAAGGCGTCTCTTTAGTTCACAGTTAGGATTAGTCGCCTCCGTCAAAAGATCAACTCCAGCCTCCAGGTTTCACCTGCGCTTACTCTCAGTAGCACCTGTCTCATATGCAACTGAAATTTAGAACCTTTCAAGATTTCTAATTTACTGCTCACTTTTTGTATTCATAATCTGGGATTCCTTCGCATTTCCCTGTTCTTTTCTTTTTTAAATCCCGAAATTTCAGACAGTTGAGGCAATGATGACCAAAAAATCATATACCATCAAACTATGAAAGCTTAATCAAAAGCTTGTTGATTCGTCGATATCATTACTATCTGAGCCTCTTTATTTATTTTAACAACTCGCGCATTTTTGTTGATCTGTTCTCTCATAATTGTTGAGATTAATGATTTTGGTAATGAATCTAGAAAAAGGCAATAAATTAGAGTCTCTGATGCGCTTTGTCTAGCGTATACAGCGCTGTACGTTGCCAAGAATGAATTGGGGTGAAGATTCTGGCACGGGGATTTTTATATGTAGTCCTTGTGCATTCAGATGCCTCACATTATTTAATACTTCATCATGCCTCATATATATATATATATATATATATATATATTAAAGTTGTCCCTGGTTACATGATTTATAAGTAGTTCAAACTGATCTAAAAGATTTGCATTTGAAAATCAAACTGAGCTTAGAAGTAGTTCAATGTTTGCTCCTTAATTTTAAGACTAGACAGTAAGCATAGAGAACGAGATTGGTTTCTTCTGAACTAATTTTGACATGAAATGTGAATCACATAATTTTCTTACTAAAAGCATGCATATGAATTAAATTGAAAAGTGATTTAAGATTTGATTTCATATATCCTTGATTTGACAAGGATGACTGGTTGGCGATAAGCCTATGTTTGAGAATGAAGATATGAGTTACTACATATCACTGGTTTTGATTAATCAGTCTACAAAAGGCAATAAATTAGAGTCTCTGATGCACTTTGTCAATAGTGTATACAGCGCTGTACGTTGCCAATAATGACTTGGGGAGAAGATTCTGGCACACGGACTTTTATATAGTCCTTGTGCATTCAGATGCCTCTACATTGTTGAATACTTTATTATTTCTGTTGAACTAGAAGGGAAATAAGGAAAAGAGGTGCAGACTAATGTATAAAGCCATTTGACTACTTTTAATTAAGACCCAATAATTCTTTAAAATTTGTTCATCTGTTTCTTTCATGACGTGTGCATACTACTTTATATTACTAATTTGAATATTGAGTCTATAAAAAGGCAATTAATTAGAGTCTCTGATGCGCTTTGTTAATAGCGTATTTAGCGCTGTACGTTGCCGATAATGAATTGTGGCGGAGATTGTGGCTCTAGGATTCTTGCATATAGTCCTTGTGCATTCAGATGCCTCTACATTTTTGTCTACTTCATTAGACTGAGTAATTTTTATTATGTATTTAAGTTAATGTACATTTCACATTTAATTTAACTGGTTAAAATAGATCATTTAGCATGTATAAAGGTTATTATGCAACTGTCCGTTTTACTGCTCTACATTAAAGTTTACACATGAATATTTGTGTTGGGATATTTCGTAAATTTTTGTATTGTAATTTAGGAGTTCGATCATGAAAATTCCAGTCATGACTAATGAGTTTGATTCTCAGTAGTAAGTACTCAAATCACTTATTTCATGATGAAGCAGTTCATAGTTCCGTACCAAAGATACACGCACTCTACCGTTGGAGGGTTTTGACATACACAACACTACATAGCTTGGTAATCCTACAATTGTTTTCTATCTATGTGAAATCTCCAACTCTCCATGTGCAACGAAAAGAATTGTACAGGAAGTGAATCTGTGAAATATATCAAGAATGCTGTTCCTCTGTATTCTTGGTTAGAAGAGACATTTGCTTGTATCATTTGCCACGTCAAATACTCTGCACTCTTCAGTCCATATTGGACGACATCCCGCAGGGTTTTACTGCAATAGCTTCTAGAATTTAAACTCAAATTTCAAAACCCAAACTCATAAGCAGAAACAACAATGTCGGACGATGCCTGTCATGCTTAAACTGTTGCAAAATTCGCCATTATAATCCAACAAATCAAAAGCACAAACAGGAAATGCCTCGTGTATAGATATTATATGAGCAAGAAAGGCTCTAACTACAATCTCTAAATTGAGGAAACAACCAATTCAGTAGAAAAAAATGAGTTGTAAAAAAGGGTTTACAAAACTAAGCGGTTGTTGCAAATATAATCTGGTTTACAAGTTTGGAGTCGATTCACTAGGAATTAACCTACTAATCACAACTGCTAGTTTCGGAAGAATTCAAGTAATCAACTTTCAGAATCAAGTAATCAACTTTCAAAAATATTGAATAATGAATAATGAGTTGAGCCTGTAACTTTATTACTAACAAAGCAAATGTTGTAGACAAGAATAGAAAACATCTAGGGTTATGATTTCCTTTCGTCGAAATCCTCCCCACCATGTCTCTTATAACTTCGCTTATTCTCTATTGATTGTGAGCACTTTAGGTGTTGAAACTCTCGTCCGAGCAACTACAATAATATACTAGACATATTCTTTTGAACTATGCTAGCTAGCTTTAGTTTACACCCTCACTACTAAGTTCACACAAAAGTTTCGTTATTTTCATATATATTTAGTAGTGCACTTTAGGTGTTGTAACTCTCTTCCGAGCAACTACAATAATATACTAGATGTATTCTTTTGAACTATGCTAGCTAGCTTTAGTTTACACCCTCACTACTAAGTTCACACCAATGTTTCGTTATTTCTAATTCATTTTTAAATCCTCTGTATTGATCTCTCATATATATTTAGTAGTGATGTTGTTCAACAACTATCTAAAATATATATCCTTTTTCAACTATCTAAATAGCATAGCCGATTGAGAGCCCTTCAATCAGCCACAATAATCATGTATTAAACGCAACAAAAATTCATCATCCAATAGGTTTTATCAACCCTAGAAATAGTTTAGCTACTCATAATTGTTTTTACAACTACAATATAAGAATTTATCACCAACAATAAAGCGATGTTGGAATCCGCGTCTGCCTTTGTGTGTCGCGCGCCCATGGAGCAAATACATCTTTTGAATTTCTTCCATTTCGCGAAGCGATCTGTGCCTTTGCTTCACTTCCTTTGCTGTTTTATGCTTTCACTTTTCTCCTTTTTTGTGTATGTTTTCATGCCACGCACGAGAATATACGAGCTCCCAATCCTTCCATTTTTCTCCTTTTAGCAATAATTTAATATCTTTTGCTCCATTATCATTCAGGCTCAGTCCTATAAATAGAACTGTCAAAACGGGCTAGCCCAATCCAACCCAAGCCTCGTGGGCTTTTAAATTTGGTGGACAAGGACGAGCCGACCCGCCATATAAATGGGCCTTAAAATGGTCAGCCCAACCCAGCCCTAAGAGGGTTGTCGGCTAGGTTCGGTCGGCCCTTCAATTTTTTTTTTTTAGAAAAAAGAATTTCTTTAAATTCTTAAATATTTTTTCGTGACGTAAAAAAAGCTTGATATTTGACAAGGAATCTTGTAATTGAAATGCAAATTCTCTATATCTCTAGCTCTTCTTTTTTAAAATTACATGAATATTTTCTTTATACTTTTCTTTCATTTTTCTCAGATTCAGGGATTGCTTCAATAAATTTATATGCTGAGTTTTTTTAATTTAGGATTAACATCATTTGCTGATTTCATCATTATAATCCATAAAAATTTTAAAATTCCTGAAATTTGCTTGTGGTCATTTTTTTTATGTATTTAAAATTGATCTTTTTCTATATTGAATAACTGTTTAAATATTAATAATATATTAAAGTAATCCAAACTGATCATTGGCCACTTAAAGTAATATTTTCTTTTGAAAAAAGATTATTATTGGTCACCTAAAACTTTTAGAGTTTGTTAAAAATTAAGAAAAAGAAAAACTAATTGTCATATTACATGCATATCAAAAATCTAAATTTTAGTTGATATGAAAGGGTAAATGAGCAATCTAGGGTTGGGGAATGAGGATTATAGTTAATAGTTTTTGTAGTTTTATTTTTTTAAATATTAAATATTTAATTATTTTTTGGCCCACGGGCCGGCCTAGGCTCATCCTCGGTCAAGCCTCAAGGGCTAGCGGGCTGACTTGGGCCGGGCTTATAAGCATCAATTTTAAAAGGGCTCAAAGAAATTCTAGCCCAACCCTACTCAAGTAGCGAGCTGGGTTTGGCTGGCCTCATGGGCCAAGCCCATTTTGACGGCTCTACCTACAAATAAGAAATACGTAATGAGTATAGTTCACTTCAAATATCATATAATCTACCGCAACTCACACGACAAATGAGATGAAAATACACTCAAAATCATGCACTTTTGGCCATTTATCACATACATAAAGAGGTATTAGAAGCAACTTAACATATGACAAATAGTGAGAGAAGCAAGTTTGTTATTATTAACTAAACCAACCTTTTACCTGCACCCGATCCCCTTTACTCTTCAACCAAGTTACCCTTCTTTCTTTTTCGTCATTGACATTCTATCTACCCCTCTATCTCAAGGCCTTTCTCTGTACTTTTTATTACAGTAAGTAGTTCTCTTTGATTTTTTCCATAGCTAATTCTTATTGGTTTATTGTTTTGGCATCTTGCACTTGTTGGATGAAGCACATGATAGTGCTTTTATTTACTGGGTAAAAATGAAAAGACAATTCTTTATGCTTATCAAAAAATAAAAAATAGACAATTCTTTATCTGGACACACTTAGGTAAACAAATGTAATATGTTCTCTTCTTGAATGCACTCGATCAAGACCGGTAAAACAACAACAATTTTTTCATTCTGAGGTTTCTCTCTTTCCGATAGCCTATCACTTTTGATCTCCCTGAGATGTCTGTTATTCCCTATTTTAACCTTTTTCATTCTTTTTCTATATTTGTTGGTGGAGATTTCACAATTTCTGCATTCGTTGGTCTTTTGTTTTAATATAAATTACAGTAAGTGTAATTGAAGTCCTTGGCATATTTTGAAAAAATTTCAGTTTGTTGTTTGCACTAAAAATGCTCTTCTACAAAAACCTTTGAAATCCATCTAGTGTTATACATCTAGTAAATAATTCAGACACGCAACATAAAACCCCTATGGATAGAACCAGTTAGAGGAGATAATATAATCTTTCATCCCTGTTAGTATGCCCATCAATTTGAAGCACTTGCAAGTTCAAGTCGCATCAGTGCATAGAATCTCAACTCTATTTTAATAATTCAGGAGCTTAGTGTAAGCACAATGAACCTTATTTTCCAAAGCAATTTTCGACAATTGCATTGGCTTAAAGTTACAAAGAATTCAAACAAGCAACCAAAAGAATACACCTTTTAACACCACTTAGTTCAGCCCAATCTCTGTTGTGCAAACTCCCAACACCCACAAATTCATAAAACCCCGTAAACATCGGCACCGCTATTGAGCACTCGCAGAGTACACATAAAACAAGGGAAAAAACTGAGCTCCAAGAAAAGTGTTACACATAGATAAAGCAAGATCTAGAACATTTTAGAGCAAGGTCGAAAGGGAAAGTGAAAACTTTTGTGTTGGTGGTTAAAGGCCTTACTACAGGAATTCAAAAAATAAATAGAAGACAGACAGATTGAACTCGCCGGGAGCTAGAAACAAAGAGCCCTAATCCCCATCATCTATTGCTGACATAGCCCATTTAACGGACAAATCAGAAGTAATGAGCAAGGAGCTTCTGAGGAAGAGCAGACAACGACGATGATCGAGAGAAGAAGAGAGAGAGAGACAACGAAGGGAATAGAGAGAGATCCGGAAGGAACAATGGAGAAAATGAGAGAAGACCTCAAACGTGGCAAATCAGTTCCCGATTAAAAGACACGCCAAATCACAATAGGCAATTAGCGAAAAAGACTAAAATGCCTACAGTTTTGAATTTTTTTGCCATGAAGCACACATGTCGAAACCTTCTCATAGAGAATGCATAGAATCCTACAGAAAACGTGACTTCACTTAAGATAACTGCAGAAACCATTGGACCAAAAATGAACCCAATTTAGAAGAGATTAAGATAGTAGCTTAAAACTCTCTAATATCACTTTATAGTTTGTTGTTTCAAACAAATTATAGCATTTCACCAAAGAGCTATTTTAGTTTTCTGGCAGATTAGTTAGAAAAAATACAAATTCAAATGGTTATATCAGACTTCATAAATGCATGCAAGTGCAAAAGATAAAAACTCATGGGAAGTGTTCAACCACTATTTACCTCAGTGGTTGGAAGTAAACAATCAACTATCAACAAACAAACCACGACACTCCATTATCAAGCTAATCTGTTAACTCCTCTAGTCAGAAACGGACTAAAAAAGTTAGGAATAGAAATGAGTCTTACCTCACAAAGAGGAATGCTAGCAGATTTATGATATAGCATCCCATTCCTACAGATGTCCCTCTAATTTTTTTTCCCTTTTAGTAGCATAAAGCCCAACCAAGTCATAGACATCCTAATTTTAAAGCACGTTATGCACCATTAAACAACAACCTGTTAGCTAGGAAAAATATGAAGTGGGATAAGAAAGATTACAACACTGCATAAATACATGAAATGGATATAAAGACACAGCATACTTGATATTGATTTCTGGAAATAGGAAACTCTTTTGGCATATTTTTCCTTCCATAGTAGTTTCTACTATATCCACGTGAATGTGGCAATAAGCCAATAACTCTTCAGCTAAAATCTGCTTCTCTCTATGGAAGCAACCTTGTCAATAATACACCATATAATGGTTCTAAGAGTATGGACTCTCTCAAATAGAACATATTACATGAACGACTATACCATAATATAAAATCACATACTAATACATAAATCATAAGTTTAAGTGGTCCAAATGGACATATGGCCTTATGCATTCATACAAATAAACACAAAATATTCTGCAACATATCTTATAAATTCGTTGTGTTCTTTCATGATTTTTCCAAAATGAACCAAATGTTTCTTTGTTCGTCTGGTTCAAGTAAGGCCATTCACTACATTATGACATAAATGTAGGAAATTTGATAACTTAAACATTTTAGAAACAGGACGCTTTCAGTTTTTTTTCTCCTCCAAACAGTAGTTCTTTTTACTCTTCCAACTTCCCCATAAAGCAACAGGGGATAAAAAGCAATTCCACACTGAAACTTTTTACTATTACTATACGAAATTGAAGAATTCTAACCATCATGACGTTATGGCTGAAATGAGTGTATAAAGAGGCATAAACCAGTAGACATAAGGAAAAATCATAAAACCCCAAGTCGAAAAAAGAAATTCAAAAGCAACTTTACCAACAATCGTTACTTCTATACCAATAGTTCATTAACAATCTAAACAACGATTTTTCAGTAAATATCGACAAAATAGAAAAGAAACGTGTAGAAAGGCTTAACAGAAGTAGGTATAATAAACAAAGTAGTAATGAAGAGAGGTTATTGTATGACATATAAGTGTAACAAAAGGATAATTCATACATAAAATATCAAAACTTACTCATAATAATGAAAAACCGATTTTCTATATATACCCATTAGGAGACGGGAAAAGCAACACTGAACTGCAAGTATATAGACACACAAGCAACGAATCAACGACATGGATTTATAGACACTCATTTGCCACACATCTAAGTTTTTCTTCATTAATACCGTTCGCTCAAGTCGAGAGCAGATATTTTGTAGAAACAGACAAACTACCAAAGGTTGTGTTGAAAGTGTGTATACTTTAATTCTTGTTACTTACGCTATGAAACCAACATATGTGAGAGGAAACAAATAAAAACTACCGCAACCAAATCTATACTGAGAAAATCATTTGTATTAAGAAATTGCAACCAAATCTAAGTATAGAATCTATCGTCTAATTTCTGAAGTTTATAGAGCTACATCGAATTTTAAAATTGGAATTTGGATATTTGGAATTTTCTAATGAAATTGGAGTAACACAGTCAACCAAGAGATTCCGACCAAGTTAAATCTGCCGAATCAACAGAGATACATGCATTCCACGATCAGAATTAAACAAAGGGGAGGGCAACACTTGAGATGGAAAAAAAGGAAGAAGAGACGCAGAACATGAAGGAAACAAAGAGAGAGAGAAAATTTACCTTTGTTTCTGGTGAAGGGCTCCATGTTGTCTCTCCTTTCTGCCCTATACACTTCTCCTTCATGCCAAAAATCATCATAGCTAACAGTGAACTGGGAAAAGTACCTTTGAGAAGACCGGAGAGAACTCATGGGAAAAGGATCGAAAGAAGAGGAAGAGCTACACAATTAAGCAGTGGCTGTAGGAACAGAAGCCACGTATCTCCTGATAGCTCAAATGACTAACTTACCCGTGATTTTAAATTTATTGCCACTAAGCTCACATGTTGAAACTGGTAGCTCTTCTGTTATTTATTATTTATTATTATATATTAGAAAAAGAAAAGGCATCCGTGTTTGCTCATATATTCAAAGATCACTATTGCCAGAAACCCAATTGAAGAGTCAAATATATCTTGTAATTTTTAAAAACTACAATTGAACATTACACGATTAACTAGTCAGTCCATTTCGATAGATTTTTAGCGACATATTAGAAGAGTCAAATATAACTCGTAATTTTTCTTAGTGGAACATTTTAGAATCGCATTTTTTGCGTGATTTCTGAAAAAATAAAATAAAAAGTAAAAGCTTTATTTATTAGTGGTTTTAATGGAATGAACTTACATGAACTGTGATTAACCAGGCAGTTCACTGCTATAGATGTTTAGTGACATAGCTTAGAAGAAGTTCAATATCCAATACCAATAATTCATGACAACGCATGATATAATGATGACATCAAAAGAAAATAACTTATGAAATATCATGTTCAACTCGTTCACAAATGCGAAAAATTAGACATGCTTTTCATATATAACAGTCAAAGTCCAAATTTTACCACCGAAATCAGTAAAATATGAATTTATCAAGAAAACTGTGATGGCTAACTTTCAACAACAGGTAAGATATTTTATTTATCATCTAGCATGAGAAAAATACATCTCTATACCTACATGTCAAATGTACATGTCAAGTCAATAATATCACAGCGAAGCCATCAAGTATACTCACACTCAGCACGCTCACTGTGCATGACACAAATGCCCATCACCATCACATACACAACCACGCTCACGGTGCATGGCACAAATGCCCCTCACCATCACACATACAACCACACTCAGTACAGTACGGGTGCCTGGCACACATGCACCTCACCAAAGCACATATATAACAATATAATGTGCCTGTGCTCACTGTGAATACCAGACTCCGGAGGGGCAGATCCTTGCCCAAGCGCTGATCAATATAAGCCAATAATCAATATAATCACTGCGGCGTGCAATCCGATCCAAATATCAATCCGTTGTGGCGTGCAACCCGATCTAAATATCAATTCGTTGCGGCGTGTAACCCGATCCAAATATTAATTACAATTCGGATCTATAGTCCACATCGGTCATCAACCGCTCAAGTATCTATATGCCAACATCTCACAGAAACATAATCCAATATACCATACAGAATATCACAATGTGCTAGAAATTCAGCCAAAAACTCGGGTCACGTACAAGGACACCAATAACATATCAAAAGTACACAGAGACAGAATTATAACACGCAGATATAATTATCATGACTGACAAATGACTACGGCTAAGACAAATAGCTCATTATAGCAAAATAGCCCTACCATGTCTTACTCAATTAATCAGATAGCCTAAACATGATTTCTAACATGAATACTAACTCACGTAGTTATACAAATGGAGAAAACATGATATCAAAGAAGCATGAAAGCAAAACACAGCATATAGTAGCCTATGAACTACCCATATAATGAGATATTATGGTGCACGCATATACGCTCGTCACCTCGCATATATGCCACTCCCATCATATAAGAAATAACATATCCAATGGGAAATTACTCTCAGATCCAAGGTTAGATAAGTTACTTACCTCAAACAAACCAAGTTCATACTCTAAAAATGCCCTCCCACGCGAATCGACCTCTGAACGGCTCGAAACTAGCCAAAAGCAACTCAAAAATATCAAATAATGCCATAGGAGTAAACCCAAATGATAAAGGTCGAATCTTTAATCAAATACTTAAAGTCAACCCGATCTTGCACCTCGGAACCCAAGAAAACTCATAAATTCTAGCAATTCATTCGAATACGAGCCCAACCATACTAGTTTCATCCAAATCGGACTCCGAATCGATGTTCAAAATTCAATTTTTCACTTTAGAAAAGTTTTGACCAAAAAACCCCAATATTTCTTTTAGATTCATCAATCAAATACCAAAATCGAAGATAGAATCATGAATAGTAATCCAAACCGTGTCAAGGACATTTACCCTAATCTAAGCGGTGAAAATGTCCTCCAACATCTCTCAAATCCGAGCTCCCAAACTCAAAAAATAATAAAACAACCAAAACCCTCGAAATAGAGTACTTAAACAATTCTGCCAAGTTAAACACATCATGATCGCGGAAAAGCCTTCGCGATCGTGTAGAAGGAAACAACACTGCTCCGAAATAAGACTTCGCGTTCGTGGCACTGCCCTCACGAACGCATTGAACAACGCTTGCCAAGCCTGCACAACATCGTGATCGCGGCATCCAGACGAAACCATGAAGCACTAATTGCCCAACCATCGCGAACGCTACCTAGCTCCGCGAACGCGATGCGCTAGCCACTGAACCTCCATAAACACTGCCCTCCTCTCGCGAATACGTAGAGTAAAAACACCTGGCTCAAACATTCACATTGCGATCGCGGCCATACCTTTGCAATCATGAAGAACACCTGAATCATCAGAAACTAACAAAAAACCAGCAATGCTATCATCATCCAACATGGTCCGAAACTGTCCCGAGCCCCTCGGGACCCCGTTCGAACATACCAATAAGTCACAAAATATATCACGAACCTACTAGAGGCCTTAAATCACACATAATAACTTTAAAACATGAATTGCACCTCAAATCAAGCTTAATGAACTATTTCAAATTCCAAACTTACGCCGAACACGCCTAAACAACTCAGAATTACCTCAAGTTTTGTACACAAGTTCCAAATGACATAACAAACTATTCTAACTCTCAGAACAACAATCTGAACCCGATAACATTGAAGTCAACTACAGTTCAAACCTATGAACTTTCCAAACCTCCAAATTATCAACTTTTGCCAAATAGAGCCGAAATCTTATAGAAATATCTAAATACGAATTCGGGCATACTCCCAAGTCCAAAATCACCATCCGGACCTAGTGGAACCATCAAAACTCTGATCCAAGGTCAAATATATAAAGATCAAACTTGGTCAACTCTTTCAACTTAAAGCTTCTAAATTGAGAATCATTCTTCCAAATCAATACCGAACCATACAAAAATCAAAATCGACCATACACCTAATTCATAACATATCATATGAAACTACTCAAGACCTCAAACCACCGAATAGAAATTTTAATGCTCAAAACGACCGATTGGGTCATTATACATAATCAGAATAGTCAATATTTTAACTAAAGTTGATATTCTAGAATTACAAGTTACTCCCCCATCCCAATTTATGTGGCGATATTTGACTCAACACGGAGTTTAAGAAAAAAAAGACTTTTAAAACTTGTGGCCTAAACAAGTTATATATATTTGTGTGGCTATAAATCATCTCATTTAGAGAAAAAAGTTAGTTTAAAGGTAAATTATTTACCGAAGTATTTAACTATAAAATACTAGTTTAGGAGACTTACCGGTTTTCTCATAGCGGAAGCGGATCTGCAGCAACAATGGCTTGTATCATCGATCATCAAGAATCCTCATCAGACGGATGAACTGCCTTGTTTCCACATCCTAGATATCCTTCTTCGATGGCTATACTCAATACATCTTCCCAGAACTGGGTAGTACATAATCATGATCTCTAACTAAGTACATACAATATATTCAAAATATGATACTGTTCGAATGTAAAATCAACAGTATCAACATAAAGAGTGAGACTCCAAGAAATGTGACAACATGCAGCTTTACCTTGAATCCTCACGAATCATGCAAACTTTCACTCTCAAGATCCACTGCCTCTAACACCTGGATCTGCACAAAAATATACAGAAGTCTAGTATGAGAACACCATTGTAACGACCTGGATGGTCATTTCGAGAGTTGTAGCCCCGTTCCCCTATTTACTATTTCATTTATGATTTATAGCTATTATATGACTTATCGGGTTAGTTGGTTTGGGCCCAGAGTAAATTCAGTGTGAAATGAGATACTTAGTCTCTTAAATGGAAAACTTAAGTTGAAAAAGTCGACCGGATATTGATCTATGTGTAAATAACCCCTGATTTGAATTCTGATGATTCCAGTAGCTCCATATGGTGATTTTGGACTTAGGAGCGTATCCGAAAAATTATTTGGAGGTTCGTAGTGGATTAGGCTCGGATTTTAGAGATTTTGAGAGGGCTTTTCAAGTGTAATTCTTGAGGTAAGTTCCTTGTCTTCATTTTTCTTCAATAATTATGTTTACCCACCGATTTCCCACCTAGATGGTTTGTTTTTGAGGTGTAAATTGGGGATTTGAGGCTAGGGATTTGGAGAGTTGGTTTTGAGGATTTGAATGACCAATTGGTGTCGGATTTTGATGAATTTGGTATGGTTTGCCTCGTGAGTGAATGAGCTTTCGGATTTTGTGACTTTTGTCGGATTTCGAGACATGGGGCCGGGGACTGGATTTGGGCCGATTTCAGACTTTGGCTATAATTTCGTATTTTTCTTGTGGAATTAATTACTTTAGCCTATATTGATTTTATTGAACTGCTTGTGGCTAGATTCGGGACGTTTGGAGACGGATTTGAGAGGCAAGGGCATTTTGGAGTAGACTTTAGCCCGAATTGAGGTAAGTAACACTTTCAAACATGGTTTTGAGGGTTTGAAACCCCGAATTATGTGTTATGTGATTGGTATTGAGGTGACGCACATGCCAAGTGACAGGCGTGCAGGCGTGCACCATGAGAATTGTGACCTGGTTGACTCCATGATACAGTATAGTGGTTTTATCTTGTTGATACCCATGTATTCTTCATGTGATAAAGTAATTGAGCTGTCACTCATGCTAGATATCATGTTTAGGCTTTATGCCGGTACTGTTTGGACCCATAGTGGTCGTTTCTTGTAGTTGTCTTACTGATTTCATTGATATTTCATACTCGGTCATATTCATTCATTTCATATCTCATCTCAGTCTCTGTTGTTATTTATTGATGTATCATATCATTGTTTTCGGGCTAGTATCATGAC